TGGTGCACGGGGGAGGTGGCTGTATAAGCCAGAAATGATAACCATGATGTTTTGTTTTTCACCCAGATATTTTGACCACAAGCCATAGTACTTTTTGTTAGGACTATTATTTTTTGGGTATTTTTCCTTCTAATAAAGAGTGTTGTGTAGCGGAGAGGCCTTAGAGGCCTTTTGGTGACCTCTATTGGCAAGTTTGCTGCTACTGCCCCCATCTGCCCCTGATACGGTATAGTAAGGAAAGCAGATTTAAGAAAAGCATTTGACATCTGTGATCATAATACTGTATGCTTTAAAGAATATGTGAAGCATATACAGTATGAATTGTTACATATATATACTGAAACTACAAGGGCAGATTCATAAACAGAGATTTGCAGTTTCAGGAAATCTGACTGTGCAGGAACGAGACTGTGAAAGATTCATAGAATGGGGTACAATAAATATTGAATAAGAAGACGATGGACAGCAACAGTTAAAGATATCTTCCTTGAAGCACAGTAGAAATACAGTACATCAAAAGAGTAAGTAAATCTTAGACTATAAGGCAGTTGCCCTAAATAATAACTGTTGTTCAACCCCAATGATTTCAAGTGACCATTTGTTTTAGAACACATTCACTTTAAATTTCAGAGAGTAGTAAGTCAGTGTTTCGCTGCATGTCTCTTTGAGGCAATAAAGACATTTTGTGTTCATGATTGCTCTTGGGGTATTCTGGCTTTAATTCTTCAACCTGTAAAATTGATGCTTATATCTAATATTTTTCACTTCTTCTCCTGATGAATTCCTTGATTGCACTGGCTGTTTTACATACAATATACTGTCCAGTATGGTATGCATAAGATGTCAGCAAAACTCTTCCGACAGACCCTCATAAAACAGGTATGAAGTGTGTGACTGTTATAAGTGAAGTATGACTGTTATTGATTGGAAAATGGTTTATGTTGTGCCTGTCTGTAAATACATGTAATGTAAGGTTATAGAAACAATAAACTAAATTAGAGGGTTATCATTTTTAAATGTAGAAGAGATAGGTCTTTCATAACAAACTCTTTCAACAAACAACAGCAGTAATGGACATTAGGAGATTAATGATATATTGGAATTAATGGAATTAATGGTATATTGTGATTTTAGAAGAATTTCGGTAAGGTACAATTTACATCATAAAATATACAGTATCAAATTACTAGCAGTGGGTATTCAAGAAAATATATACATCTGGAATGAGAACTGATTACTGTTAGAATAGTACAGATAAGGAATGAAAGCTGAAACTGGGATGATATAAAAATAAATTCAAACAGGGCAAAAACCTCATACTGTAGATAACATAAGACATCCTCAAATGGAAAGTATTGCATGCAATCATCAAAAATAAAAGCTGGAGATGTTACATGCATTCCATTACTGTAAAAACAGATTAACTGCATCTTATCAACATTAATTTCTATTTATTTAATCATTTCATGCATTATGACATAAATATATTTTTCAGATATTTATTTAATACTTCTAGATCTATAAAAACACTTGAAAAAGTTCAAATTGAACTGCCCTCCTTTCTTGCAATGGCGTATTCAGAGTTATTCTCTATTTGTTTTATATGGGCAAGTCAAGTAAAATAAGGACATTTATTTTCACTGGTAACATTCCAACTGGTATATATCTACTGTAGGATGATTTTTTCAGATTTAATTTTCTGGGAAGAAAAATGTCCTAGATATTTACAACAAAAATGCCATCTAAAATAAAACAAAGGTTCATGAAGCTGAGACTTACATAGCAAGTTTGAATTCCTCCCACTTTTAAGAATTAGTTTGATTTTAGTGTTGATGTGGAAGTTGGCAAGGCACTAGGGACATAATGACTCATGACACTGCATGCAGATGTACTTCGTTTTCTGAGTAGATGCCACATCATAGCACCTGCTGGCGTTTTTTTTTGTTTCAGTTTGTTTTGGCCAGTGATTCTCCATACTGACCTTGATTTCAGGGGGTGTCTTTGACACTGCCACAAAGGAGAGGGTGACTCACTTGGCTTTCTCTTTGGCTTTTGCTCCAGACATTATGAATTGATCAGCATTCAAGCTACAGATGTTATGAAATATAACAGATCCTTGTCATTGTATCCTTATCTGTATGTCATACATTTACAAAGGTTACATCAAGAAAGTGAAAGGACACTTCAATGTATCATGTCCCTGTTTGTGAGTGTGGTGGAAGGACCAGTCTATTTTTACTCCATTTCATTGATAACGGAGTCACATTCACTTGTCTCCACATGGAGCCAGCTATTGGAATGAAAAGGTTCAGAGACTGACACAATGTACAGTATTCTCTGGTAACATGACCATACAATGTACACGTGATATGTTGAATAGACAGTTTGCATTCCATCTGAATTCCTGATTGAAAAATCGAGCTCTTAACTGACATAAATAATGTTATGTGACTTTTTAAAATTGATTTTGAGTTATTTAAGCATATTTATAGGTAAATGTAACCTCTTACTGTTTCAGTTGAATTCAGAAATGTCAGTTAGTAAATACTTAATTATACAGTATCTTGAGTTAATTAGCAATGAAAAGCTCATCCAGAACAAAATCCAGAAACTGTTGATTTTGACACATGCTCAGTGCCATGCAGTCTAGGAGAAAGGGAATGAACAGTCAAATGGAACTTTGGGGAATATGATGTTGTATTAAACAACATTATTTCTGGACAAAAACAGCACACACCGATGTAATTGTATTAGGTATGTAGGCCTTTTCATACCTTCAGAATGCATTGAGTGCCCCCTGGTGTATACTGTTACTGTTATTGCCCTGTGGTGTGAACTGCTGTTGAACAGGCCAGCTAGCATTATTAGACTATTATAGGCTATTATAGGCTTTATCATCAGGCGGCTCAAGCAGCATTAACTAAGTGCTGAAGTCAGAAAACATTAGGGAAAATACTGCATACTGAACAAATGCAATAATAACATACTATATTATTTTTCAGGAACAAAAATAACTTCAAGATGTTTCAAGAATTATCTTTTTGGTAAGGTAAAATAGTCTTTAGCATTGTGTAAAAAACACACATGAAATGAATGTTTTATGGACATACAAAATAGATTTTAATTAATTACTTTCATAACCGAATACCAGAATAAAAGAACTTTAAAAACAGCAAGTTTGGATTAATTCTTTCTATTAAAAACACAAAATCTTTAATGATAATCCTTATCATAATCATAATTTATTGTTTTAAGGAATATCAATAGACATGGTGACAAAAAATACGCAAACTAAACATCACTTTTCTGTTACCTGTCAAAGACAATTTAACTTTACTGTATTTTTTTTTTAAAGAACATCTTGCACTGTCACGGGCTTAACATAATCAGGTTACAGTGCTGGCATAATGGAAGAACTGAGAAGGAAGATAATCTGTTCTGAGACACCCCTCCACAGGATCTTTCACACTTGCTTGAAAGATATACTGTAGATGCATTGTAAAGAGAATTATTCTGGTCCCTCACAATCAAATAAATGTAGTTTCAGTTTTATGTGCTTTCTTTCGTCCATACAGTATGTACTATCTGAACCTTATGTATGTATGTTGTTGTTATTTGTACGTATACATTATTCATAAGCTTTAACATAAGAAGGAGACGAAAATATGACACTACAGCAACCTTTAGTATGCAAATTTTAGATACAAAACCTCATCTTTCATGATATCCGCACTAGTATACAGTATGTGTGTCAATGGGAATGCAGTGCATTTTTAAAAGAAGTTGTATTATAATAAAAGACTTATTAGTACAGGCATGTATCGAAATAGCTTATTTTACTTTTTAATTTGTTATTTTGAAATAAGTTTTCTCAGTATTCATTGAAATAGCATGAATACTATTAAAATAATGTTTTATTTTACAGTAGCCTGTAATATGTTCTTTCTCTTGATTGCATGCAAATAATACTATTTTATTCTAATGAGACTGTTTTATATACAGTAGCATTCTTTTATTTTGTTATTTAAATTATTATTATTAGTATTGTTGTTGTTACTGTTGGCCAGAAACATTAATTTATGTCTGTAATGTTACCCAGTAGTTCTTGCCATTATAAACGTTAATATAATGAGCACTAGATGGCGCTCAATACCCATAAGTAAGCAGCTAGTAAATCCTAAACTTTAAACAAAATTCCTAATATTTTGAACTAATTGGTAATGCATCTGATATATAACGTCAATTTACATCGGTGCAATCTGTATTTCTATATAGATATTTATCCGTTTTTAGTTTAAGTTTTTAGATTATTTAAAGTAAGTATAACAAAAATATTTTAAACAATATTTTAACTTGATCTTCTGCAGATTATTATGAACTCATTGTCATAACTACTACTGCTGAAGTGATAATGAACAAAACTATGCAAAGAAACGATTCAGAAATACTTTTAAAATATGTTCTGACATTAGGAGTGTAATCATTGACAGTAGATGTACTATTTCAGAACGCTTCACCTAAAATCAGGTAACTCAACCTTAAAGTAACTCAACATTTCCATAATAAAGAAGCACTCGTATATGGAACAGTTTTTTCACTCTTTTTCCATCAACATCCATTACATAACGTCTACTGACAGTCGGAAATCTAAACGCTGAAACAAATCAAACTACCTATAGGACTTTAGTAATTTAATTTGGGAGCTTTTCGTAACTATGAAACAGTTAATAAACTTGACCATATAGCATTCCAAGACAAGCCTCTTAATCCCCTTTGAGTTATTATTGTAACAGCCTAACGGTCCTGTAGCCAAAACCATCTCCTCCTCACTCACCTCATAAGTGCCTGTCGCTTGTTTCGACTGACACGGCAAACAACAATCCACTGGAGGAGGCTTGGCCTCCGAAGCACTCTCAGGGGCAGGAACGTACGCAGCAGACCAATAGATAGACTAGTAGGTGGGACATTTCAAACTTCGGCTTTGTTGGGGTGAGTTGCTGAGGACCTATGCCTAAATGACTGAAGTTTTTGCTCCGTTATAGTACTGAAAGACCGTACTCATTGATCCAAGAACAGTGAAAACTTGAGAGTTGCTTTACCCAGTTTGAAGCGTGCAGTAACAATTATTCTCCTTTCACAGTCTGAGTTTTATAGAGATTTATGCGTATAGCGGAAAAAAAGCTATAGTTTCAGATTTTATTGTGTTATGCTGTTTGCTGTGTAGAATGGAACTTCCAGAAAAAATGAAATCAGCTAAATGATGAGAAAAAATATATGGAGGACTGTTATGGAACTTTCTCAAAGTTGACACGCAAGGACCTTCTTTGCAATGCTACCTGGTAATTCCTGAATCCACTGTTGGACTTTTTCTTCTTTTGTGAAAAGAATAGAAAACGTAAGGAATACTTTAAAGAAGATAACGAAGAAAACGATTCAAGTTTTACCTGCGCCGAAAAAACGTCATACACATCTATTGCACTGCCAATATGAATATTGCGCTTTACTGTTTGTAATTTTAATCAAAGTTGATGCATTATAAGCAAAGACGCTGCCCTGGAAAGGTGGACTGGGATTTTAACCATGGCGTTTTCAGGTAGGAGTTTAAACAGACTTTGCTTGGTTATTTTAATATTGTGGACTTTTTGGAGGGATGCCGCATCCAGTCAAGTTCGTCAGGAGTTTCAGGTACTGGAAGAGCAGCCCATTGGCACCTATGTGGGTACTATACAAACTAAACCGAGTTTCACTTATCGATTTAGCGAACACCACGAACTGTTTGCAATTAACGGTACCACGGGTGTCATTTACACCACATCAGTGATTGACAGAGAAATGTTACGAAGCAACGCAATTAATATAGTGGTCTTGTCTAGTCAACCCACTTATCCTACCGAAGTCAGGATTGTTGTACTGGATATAAACGACAACTCTCCAGTGTTTCCTGATCCGTCGATTGTTGTATCTTTCAAGGAAGATGCCAGCAGTGGCAGGCAGGTGATACTCGACACCGCTACTGATGCCGACATTGGAAGTAACGGAGTAGATCATACAACCTACAGAATAGTTGATGGTAATGAAAAAGGGAAATTTCGTTTGGATATTACAGTCAATCCAAGTGGAGAAGGGGCATTCTTGCATTTGGTTTCAACTGGAGGCTTAGACAGGGAATCCACACCCTTTTACCAACTCTTGGTTGAAGTTGAGGACAAAGGCGAACCTAAACGATTTGGTTACCTGCAAGTAAATGTAACGATACAAGATATTAATGACAACCCGCCCACCTTTGACGAAAATCATTATCAAACGAGCGTTTTTGAAAATGCTGCAATTGGTTCAAGTGTTTTGCAAATAACCGCTAAAGACCTGGACGAGGGGGCAAACGGAGATATCAGATATTTTCTGGATGAGGGAACACCTTTCCAAATTGACCCTAAAGCAGGCACCATTACAATAAAAGAACCGCTGGATTATGAAAGCAAAAAGGAGTACTCCTTAACAATTCATGCAGTTGACAATGGAGTACCTTCCCTTTCAGGTAGGTCAGAGGCAACCATTAAACTTCTGGATGTTAATGATAATGATCCAGTGGTAAAATTCAGATATTTTCCTACTAGTTCCAAGTTTGCTTCTGTTGATGAAAATGCTCAGATTGGCACAGTAGTCGCTTTATTGACTGTCTCAGACGCAGATTCACCTTCAGCCAATGGGAATATTTCAGTTTCAATTTTAGGTGGAAACGAACAAAGACACTTTGAGGTTCACAGTTCCCTAGTTCCACATCTGAGCTTAATCAAAGTAGCTAGTGTTTTGGACAGGGAGCGCATTTCTTCCTATAACCTCACCGTCTCTGTATCTGACAATGGCAGACCTGTGGCCAGGTCCTCTTTTGCTAGCTTGGTGATTTATGTGAATGATATTAACGATCACCCCCCCATTTTCCAGGAGAGTTTGTACAGAGTTGACATCAGTGAAGACATACCAAAAGGCAGCTACATTAAAGGGGTTTCAGCAACAGATGGTGACTCTGGGCAAAATGCCAACCTGCGGTACTCGATAGTGTCTGGAAACAGTTTAGGTTGGTTTGCCATCAGTGAAAATAGTGGTTTGGTGACCAGTTCTGCTCTGCTAGACAGGGAAATTGCATCTGCAGTTGTCCTGAACATTAGTGCCAAAGATCAAGGGGTTCAGCCCAAGATTTCATATGCAAAATTGATAGTGAACATTACTGATGTTAATGATCAGGTTCCTAGCTTTACACAGAGTTCTTATCATGTCTCTATAGTAGAGCATTCTCCAGCAGGCACTGAGCTATTAGTGCTGTCAGCTACTGATGAGGATCTAGGAGCGAATGGAACCATACACTTCTTGTTTGATGCTGAAACTCCACCCCATATCCAGGATTTGTTTCGTCTGGATACAGTTTCTGGAAGATTAAGCACAGCTACAGAGTTAGACAGGGAAGAGAAAGAAAAATACCTGTTATTCATCCAGGCAATAGACTCGGGCAGTCCTCCACTTCATTCAGTAACTAAAGTAAACATAACACTGAAAGATATAAATGATAATAGCCCTGTTTTCTACCCAGTCCAATATTTTGCTAACATTAAGGAAAATGAACCACCTGCCTCTTATGTCACCACTGTGTCAGCTACAGATCCTGATTTGAGAAACAATGGAACAGTGAGATATATTATCACAGCAGGAGACACTTTTAAATTTCACATAAATAGTAATACTGGTGTAATCTCTACACTGGTTTCCCTAGACAGGGAGGAAAAGACAACATACCAGCTCCAGGTGACAGCAGCTGATGGTGGGAACCTTCGCTCTCACACTCAGGCGATTGTCACAATCACTGTTATAGATACTCAAGACAACCCCCCTTCTTTTAGCCAGAGTGTCTACAGTTTTGTTATTTTTGAAAATGTCAAAATAGGCTCCATTATCGGCACTGTGTCTGCTTCCACACTTGACCTGAACACCAACATTACCTATTTAATCGCATCTGGAGACCAAAGAGGGCTCTTTGTTATTAACAGTGCCACGGGTCAAATCACTGCATCTAGTCTGATAGATAGAGAAGAGCAAGCATTTTATCAGCTTAAAGTAATTGCAAGAGGGGGAGAAGTGACAGGGGATGCTCTTGTTAATATTACTGTAAAGGATTTAAATGACAATGCACCCCGTTTCCCTCTCTCTGTCGAACACATAAATGCTGTTGAAAACTGGGGAACAGGGCATCATATATTTCAAGCCAAGGCAGTGGATCCTGATGAAGGCACAAATGGCATGGTGCTATATAGCCTGAGACAAAACCCAAAAGGCTTTTTTCATATCAATGAAAAGCATGGACTTATTACTTTAACTGGGCCCCTGGAAATAACAACAAGCACATATCAAATAGAGGTCTTGGCATCTGATATGGGGGTTCCTCAGCGCACGGCCAGCTTAATTTTAACGGTTAGTGTGTATGATGTCAATGATAACGCACCTGTGTTTGATCAGCTTTCATATGAAGTCACTATTTCTGAGTCTGAGCCTGTAAACAGTAGATTTTTTAAAGTAGAAGCTACTGACAAAGACTCAGGTTTAAATGGGGAAATATTTTATGACATAATTGGAGGAAATATTAGAGATGCCTTTGGCATTTTTCCTGATGGGCAGCTGTACATCAAAGCAGAATTAGACAGAGAAGTACAAGACAGATATCACTTGGTAGTGGTTGCAACAGATAGGGCTGTGGAGCCCCTAAGTGCTACAGTTAATGTAACTGTGATTTTGGAAGATGTGAATGACAATCGACCACTATTTAACAGTACAAATTATGTATTTTACTTTGAAGAAGAGCAGAAGAGAGGGTCTTTTGTTGGCCAGGTATTTGCTGAAGATAAAGATTTTGGGCCAAACAGTGAAGTTAGGTATGTCTTTGAAATACCTCAGCCAAATTTTGAGTTAAACACTATAACTGGGGAGCTAACAAGCACACAGCAGTTTGACAGGGAACTGTTAATGAGGCAGAGAGGTGCTGCAATGTTCAGCTTTACAGTCATATCTTCAGATCAAGGATTGCCCAAGCCGCTGAAAGACCAGGCTAAAGTTCAGGTTTATATCAGAGATATTAATGATAACACACCCAAATTTACCAAAGACATTTACCAAGCATCTATTTCTGAGTCCGCCCAAAATATGACACAGGTGCTTAGAGTGTCTGCCTCAGATGTGGATGAAAGTGAAAATGGGCTTATACACTATCATATTAAGGGGGGGAATGAAGAAAAAAAGTTTGCAATTGACAGCAGCTCAGGTCAAGTTACACTAGTAGGTAAACTGGATTATGAAGCCACAGCGTCTTACTCCCTAAAAATATTAGCTGTGGATTCTGGAAATGTGCCACTTTCTTCATCTTGTATGCTGAGCATCAATGTCCTGGATGAAAATGACAACTCTCCTTCATTCCCCAAGTCTGTTTTGACTGTCGATGTTCTGGAGAATATGAGAATAGGAGAGTTAGTGGTATCTGTAACTGCCACGGATTCTGATTCAGGAGACAACGCTGAAATAACTTACAGCATTACTGCAACCAACAATCATGGGACATTCAGTATCAGCCCCAACACTGGAAGCATTTTCCTTGTAAAAAAGCTGGATTTTGAGACGCAGTCCCTATATAAACTAAACATCACAGCTAAGGACAATGGGAGACCTCCAAGGTCATCATCTATTCCAGTAATTATACATGTAAGAGATTTCAATGATAATCCACCAAGTTTCACTCCTGGTGACGTTTTTAAATCCATTCCAGAAAACTTGCCTGTTGCTACCTCAGTAATGACTGTGACAGCTCATGACACAGATGCGGACATTAATGGAAAGCTGGAATACTCTATCATTCAACAGACTCCTAGGGGAAACCATTTTACCATCGATCCCATTACTGGGACAATATATACAAACAAAGACATAGACAGAGAGTTTTCCAATCTCTTTGAACTAACAGTCAAAGCAACCGATCAAGCTGTCCCAGTTGAATTCAGACGCTTTGCATTAAAAAATGTGACTATTTGGGTAACAGATCTCAATGATAATGTCCCAACTTTTATTTCTCAAAATGCTCTTGTTGCCGAATCCACAATTGTAATTGGCTCTATCCTAACGACAGTTGTGGCCTTTGATCCAGATGAAGGGGCAAACGGAGAAGTAGAATATGAATTGTTGAAAGGGGACTCCAACACTTTTATAATGGACTGCTACAGTGGGGACATCAGAGTGGCTTCGCCTTTGGTACCATCTAAACTTATTTACAGCCTCACCGTGTCAGCCACTGACCATGGGACAGAAAGAAAAACAGCTAAGACAGACCTCACCATCATTCTCCAAGGTTCCGATGGGCCGGTGTTTTCACAGCCAAAATACATAACAATACTAAAAGAAGGGCAGCCCCCTGGTACTGATGTGATATCTCTGGATGCCTCAAGTCCTAGAGGCTCTGAGACCAAGGTGGAATTTTACATTGTGTCAGTGCGCTGTGGCGGAAAGCCTGTGGGTCGGGTATTCACCATAGGGCGCCATACTGGAGTCATCCAAACTGCTGCTGAACTGGACAGAGAGCAGGGCTCTGACCTCTACCTGGTGGATGTGTACGCCATGGAGGCAGATGCCAGTCTACCCAGGACACAGAGAGCTGAGGTAAGTATCTGGACATGGTTTATTAACATTAAAATTGAGTTGAGAGGGAACTAGCTTTTAAAAAGAGGTCACTGAAAAAAGCCTTAGGATGTTGAATTTACTTTAAGGTAATATGAAACTGTAGAAAATGCTTCTTTTTTTAAAAATGTTTTTGAAACTTTATTATCGTATTATCTTATGACTCTGTTTACGCAGTGTTCGAGATCAGGGGCTCCAGCTGGACGTTTCTTACTGTAGTATCTAAGAAAACATGAAGTGAAAAAAAATACTTCATTGTGCCTTATTTTCAAAGTTAATTAAGTTCCTTTTCTTTTTAGGTTGCTTTTCTTTTCCTTTTCTAGTTGTTTTAAGGTGAAGTAAGATTGTTTAGCGGTCTTAATTTTATTGTTTCAGTTTGCAAATAAAGACCGCCTTAAACAATGTTTAAGGTTTTGTATTTTTTGGAAAAACTGAGATAAATGCCACATATTATATGCTTTAACCTCTGTTATTAATTTAAATATCATTTGGCTGTAGTAGAATAACATACCTAAAGAATAAAAAGGAATAGTTACAGTAGTTCTGCTAATTTCTGACATGTGTCTTGACTTGCTGCATAATCAGTATGGTGTTTCCCTTCTCCAGTGAACCAACATATTCTGAAGTTTTATTACCAACAGAAGACATTTTGTGTTGGTTACTAAAGGCAGATACCGGAATCCTTTAAAGTGAGAAAACCAAGATTATGGGGGATTTTTATTTGAATCCCTGCTGGAACAGGGTGGTCCTCCCATAGTTCTTGTGTCACTGGCTTTGCTCTGCAGGGAATAAGTGACCATAAAACTGGTGTGACCTTTTAAGACTCCATGAATACATTCTTTAAAAAAATATTTTAATGCTGAAACGTAAGCTATCCATTCAACGTGCATTATATGATGCACCTTTTAAGCTTCTTTTTAATTTTCCCTGTGGGATAGAGTGAGTTCTCTGAAGTAGAACACTGAAATTCTAAACCTAGTTTGGGTGGCTGAACACCAGCCACTCCTTAAATGAAAAACAAATGTGACTCTATATATGCATTTTGGAAATTCAGCTGGAAGCTAAAATTTCATGTTATTATAGGCTTGATGTTATGAGTTTATAAATTCCTTTTTTAAGTGAAACCAAAATAATTTTGCTGTAGCTTCCTTGAAAAATGTGTTTTTCATTATCACTTTAAAACTAGCTGACACATTTTAGGTTTTTAAGACTTTGAGTGTAATTAGATGCTTTTGCTTCATGTCACTTTAACAATTCAGCTTAGGAAAGCTGAAATTGAAATTCAATACGGGAACTAAAAAATTGCACTTCAAAAAAATCAAACATTATTAAGATCCACAACAATACAGAATAACAAAACATGTTGTTTACATATGAATAGATCTTTAAATGTTTCTAAATCTCTAGAAAATAGAAAAAAAATACTTTTGAATACAACATTGCAAAGCTATGCAGAACATGGAGTAACAACTTAAATTCAGAATAATTGTAGTCTTCTCGTTTATAACGACTACAATTATGCTTTGACTTAAATTTACATTTTCGGTCTATTCATTGCAGTGTGTAACTTTTTGTACATTGTAACTGAAATGAATGCTTATGTAATAAGAAACAAATTAAGCAAGACATGGGATACAGTGTTTATTTTGTTTGAGTTTAGTTGTGTAACTTTATCAAGTACAGATTCTGCCAGGCACAACTGATATGGGTCTTGATCCAAGGCTTTGTTTTTTTTTTCTTTTGCTGGATAACAAGGGTTTAAAAAAATGTAAAAGGATTAACGCCAAAAGCAAAATGTGTATGTATGTGAGCCGAAATTTCTATGCAAATACATTTTTGTCCAATTATTACAGTAATTAGTGCTACAAGTCATAATAGCTTAGGCTATAGTTTGCTTGCACAAGGAGAAGAAATAAAATGTTTAGCAACATAAGGGATTAACCTGGTTTATTGCTTCAAAAGCTGAGATAAATATGGTGCACCATTATCAAAATTTTATACCTGATCAATGTAGAAGCAATATTTACAATACCTAGTACAGCTGAATTAATGACCCTGGCAATAAAAATGCCTAAAATACTTACATAAGTAAAAGTGTTTTTCAATTAATTAATTTTTCTGCTGTAAACCCAGAAGATATGGTAATGTTTTGTACTGGTTGATAAAAAAGGACATAATTATTTACTTGGTGTCCAAAGTATGTGATTTTTTCCAAGAGATAAGCACAACAAAGAAACCTGTACAAGAAAGTTGCTTGTGAAATATTTTGAAGTACTGTACCAAAAGTCTCCCTCTTTCATCTTTTAGGGTTGAGGACGTTAGAGTATCTTGAGCTGTCAAAAGATTAAAATCCTGTAGGACTGCCATTTTTGATGAGTTAATATGACACTTCGAGTTTCAGTTTTTAATTTGTTTCCCTTTCTTCACACAAAACGTTGGTAGGGGCCTCAATGGAATTTGTTTTACCTGTCTTTGGAAACTTAGACAATGTTGTTCAAATAGGCTTTGCTTAACATGTTTTTTAAAAACTCTGACAGACAACAAGGCAGTGCTGTGGTACTTTTAGCACTCTAGGTAATTAGCTTTTCCAAATCTCAAATTTGTTAGACCTCATTGTTTTTTCTTACCAGCTTCCTTCAATGACAGATTTAAAACAGCACATGACTAAAGGAAGTGGGAGTAAAATTGTTTTTGTGCAGGGCTGGACTGTGTTGGGTACAAGGGAGCTTCCACATTCCTGGCGGTATTCTTAGACTTCATAGAGTGGAACACAGATGGCCACAGCAGATAAAGGTGTCTTATAATTGTTTACTTTCCTTGACACCTTGTCTGTGTCTCCCTGTGTCACCATGAAGACAGTTCATAGGATTTAATATCATTCACATTCTAAGTAGGGAGTGCTGTGGCTTAATAGGTTAGTGGACAGAAGAAAATAAGCCAGGACGTCAGTCAGCTGGAAGAAGGAGCCTTGAAAGAAATGCATAATTACAACAATTAAATAATCATTAAGTTTCCATCTCGGTATATTCTGTACTTTATGTTTGACCGAAAAACGATATGTGCATTGTGTTTGAAAATGGGATTGGAAAATCCTAATTTACTGGAGAGGAAGGAAGGGCAGCTATTTTCCAAGTTGAGCTGAACTTTGCAACAGCCCACTTCCTAGAAAGCTTCTGTGAAGTTGCACATAATTTGCTCCAGTGCAACCTATAGCATTAGAACCAAAGTGAAAGTATAACTAAAGGAAAATCATGACATAAGAGACAAGAAGAGGTAACCAAATAGGAAACTGTGTTATAAATTTACCGCTCAAAGCATGTGTTCAAATCTGTTTTATTAGTAAATTAACTGTATAATGTGGTAAAACCTGGTATTCCCACAGAGACATTAGATATGAGAGGCCTAAAGTTAAGGCAATCTAAAACATTTTCTTACTCCAAGAGTAGATGGTCATTCTGGCTCACAAATGAGACAACAAGGCGTTTCACACAGGCCTCTAGAACAATGAGGCTGTCTTCCTAATACTTCTCTACAGACATTTTTCCTTCTTTTATTGGTGGTCTGTAACTGAGCTCTTATAGATTGATTAAAGATGCATCCAAGCAGATGACAATGAAGATAATGGTGACTGTTTTCACAGCATGGAATAAACCTATTACTTGTTCCTTTGCAGCCGACACATGCTGATGCAGCTACCCACCTGAACTACTATATAACTATTATAGTGTATAATATGTATGATTATTATTGACAGTCCCTTTGGAGCAGTCAGCTAAATACTGAATTTGGTCGGTTTATGTCTTCAAAGTGTATAAACTATCACCTCACAACTTGATCAATTCTTTGGTGTGTTTTGCCTGCTAGGACCAAACCTTTTAACTAAAAATACACCACGTTGGCCTTGAGTCCTCATTGAGTCTTTAATTCACACAAAAGGATGATCAGTTTTGGAAGGTGTACAAGTGTCCCCATCACTTATTCTGATAAGGACAAAGAAGATTTTTAAGTGAGCCCTAAGGACTGGTCCAACTTTCCAAAATGGAACTTGGCAGAAGAGTGCCACTACTCAGAAAATACAATTTCCAGTTTAAATTTATTTTCAAGACATAAACAGGCAAAGGTCCTCACTTTTCTTTGCTGATTTCCTAGTGTTTTTCATAAGTATAATAAGAAAAATTATGTCATAAGAGACAAGAAGAAATTACCAAATGGGGTACTATATTAGAAAGTCTGATATTATGTTGTAATATATAAATAAAATCTCAAAATATTAGAGAAATTAAGCAATACATACAGTAAAGGAACAAGCAATGGTTTTATTCCACGCTGAAGAGAGAAGAAAGAAAACACAACATTTCAGCGGTGTTAGCCTTCTTCAGCTGTGAGAAAGACAGGGCAGTAAGCAAAGGTAATGTAGCAGGAGAACAAAAGCTGGAAGAGAGGAGGAGCGGGAAGCGTGAGCAGGGGACAGACAGAGTGGTCAAGTCAGGTAGTGTGAAGTCAGGATAGGTGAAGGGAGGTGTGAAATGAAACTTACAATAAATAGAGAGAATTTAGGAGAACATTAGTTGAAAGAAGGGGAAAGGTGTGATCCTAGCTGCAGGATAATGTTAGTTTCTGTAGTCTTTCTGATTTGGGAGTTAGAAATACCATCTTTGAGAACACAGACGGAGAGATTAGTGTGATCATGGCCGTCGGAGGTGAAATTAGAAACGATAGGCTTGGAGAAATCTTTAATCTTTACAGCCCTAACATGTTCTCTGAAGCGGTCTCCGAGTCTCCTTCCTGTTTCCCCAATGTTCATGTTGTTGTATGAAATTTTAAATGAGTTGGATGCTGAGGGGTTAAGGAAAATAAATGCTTGTAACCTGAACTACACATGCACAAGAATTCGTGTGGAAAGTTTATTTTTACTAGAGAGATAGATTGCTTTCTACTGTGAATTTGATTGTCATGCTTCATTTACAGTGCATTTTTAGTCT